GCTCCAAACCTTGACTTTACCTGCGTTTCTGCACTGCCAACTGCCACCCTGCTCGTGTCCTCCTGGCGCCGGCTTTCGTTCTGCACCGCTTCGGTCTAAGCTGGAGTCCAAGGACCGTGTCGCATGTCGCAGGGCTAAAACACCATGGCAGTGAAGGACGGATTAGGCCCGCGGCCCGTATCCCAGACTGCCAAACGTCACTTTCTGAACCGACTAGAAACTAGCTCCAAACCTTGACTTTTCCTGCGTTTCTGCACTGCCAACTGCCACCCTGCTCCTCCTGGAGCCGGCTTTCGTTCTGCACCGCGTCGGTCCAAGCTGGAGTCCAAGGACCGTGTCGCAGGGCTAAAACACCATGGCAGTGAAGGACGGATTGGGCCCGCGGCCCGTATCCCAGACTGCCAAACGTCACTTTCTGAACCGACTAGAAACTAGCTCCAAACCTTGACTTTTCCTGCGTTTCTGCACTGCCAACTGCCACCCTGCTCGTGTCCTCCTGGAGCCGGCCTTCGTTCTGCACCGCCTCGGTCCAAGCTGGAGTCCAAGGACCGTGTCGCAGGGCTAAAACACCATGGCAGTGAAGGACGGATTGGGCCCGCGGCCCGTATCCCAGACTGCCAAACGTCACTTTCTGAACCGACTAGAAACTAGCTCCAAACCTTGACTTTTCCCGCGTTTCTACATTGCCAACTGCCAACCTGCTCGTGTCCTTCTGGAGCCGGCTTTCGTTCTGCACAAACTCTTCGCCCCTTCTGGCATCTTGTTGCTAGTAAGGCCTCCTCTGACGCGCTCCCCCTGCTGACGGCAGGGGTCGGCGGATTAATACCATTTTTTGTGGGATGAACATCCATAAATCCCAGCTATTTTGATGTGAACAGAAGGGGTACAAGGTTTTGACACACTGCCACATGGGGGAATTTACAGTGAATTTATAGTGATTTATAGTGGATTTACCCATTGAACATGGTGATTTATAGTGGATTTATAGTGGATTTACCATGATTTAGCCATTGAACATGATGATTTCCCATGGGATTTTAATGGGATTTTATGGTGATTTTAATGGGATTAATGGAACAGACCCTCTGGTAAACTAACATAGCTATTGAACATGGCACATTTCTAGTTGATTTACCCATTAGAAATGGTGATTTTCCATAGTTATGTTAGTTTACCAGAGGGTACTGTGGATGGAAGAAATCCCCAGTTGATAGGTCTTAAACATCCCATTGTTTATAGGCCATAGCGTTTCAACCATCCAAGGTGGTGCAGGATTTCGCAACCATCCACAGTAGCCATTGACAAAAACTAGTGGGTTATATGTTTGGCCATACATGGGAACGATGAGGTCGTTAGATAAGACAACTTAATGTTCGATACTTACCAGCTTATCTTATATGAAAATATTATGCACATCGTATTATTTTTATTGTCATTACTATTATCATTATTAATAGTAGTATTAGTATTATTATAAATTATTGTATTTATAATTATATACATACACTAGTATATATACATACACATGTATATATTTTTCTTTCCAAGGTATCTAAGATAAGTCGTAGTTTTTTGTCGTGGTATTGTGGTGTCATGCTGCCATTGCTACGCAATCGATGGGGATGATGGCCACGCCACTATGGGAATCCCTACCTCATGATGTGTATGGAGCCACTAGGGACTCTTTATATGGGATTTATATGGGATTTACCCTAATATATATATATGTATATATATATATATATAGAAGAAAGTAGAATGCATCACAATTTGCAGTAGGCCTTGAAACCGGGTGAAACATCTGGTACATGACCAAATTTGAGCACTTTGATACGTAACCAAACATCAGCAACATACATGTACACAACGAAAAGATGCCTATGTCTGTCTATGATCCCATTTTATACCAAGAGGATTTGGGGGTGTCACTTTGTTTTCAAGCAACTAGCAGTAAATCTATGTAAATCTTGGTTGAAATCCCATAGGGATTGGAATGATATGCCGGTACCTTCCCGGCCCCACACAATCACCGGTTGGTTCACCTGAAATCCCCATTATCTATGGGCTACAGCCCTATGATTGTTGGTTGAATTGACTTGTTTGTTGATTCAATCCTCATTCTTGCTAGCTAATTCTCCATCTATTCTCAATGATTTCCACATTCTTGTTCATTATTTCATGTTATTTCCTCATGTTTGTTGGTTAGAACTCCCTATTCTTGATGGTTAAATCATGTTAATTCCAATTTTTTGAAGGTAAAATCCTGATTTGTTGATGTTTGTTTTCGGTGCATCCGAAATTTGGTCAGTGAGATTGTTAAATCCTGGAATGTTTTGTTGGTTTATCGTGGGGATCTAAGCACCTCCCAAAGGTGACATTCAACGATAGCAGCCCTTCACCAAGCCAAACATTATTGGAGGATCACGCAACTGGTGTTGATCCCATAAGATATTAATATATTTTCATGATTTCCCAACTATGCTTGGTTTTTATATCCATATCAGTCCATATCCGATGTGTTTTTACCTCGTGTTAGATCCGATTTTTCCGAAGTGAATCCCATTTTTCTTGGTAAAACACCAGCATTTCTGTTTTTTTTCCACATCGACCCGATCAGGAAGCCATCAGCGAGCCGTCCACCTTTGCTGCTACACTGAAGATGAGCAGGGTTCGGGCCATGACCAGCACTACTCATGGGATGATAGGGTGATTTTTCAAATGGCTATTGAAAATGTTACAGTTAGCTATTGAAAATGGCAATTTATAGTGGATTTTCCCATTAAAAATGGTGATTTTCCTTAGTTAATATGGGTATGGGTCAATACCTATTAATACCATTTTTAGTGGGATGAACATCCATAAATCCCAGCTATTTTGATGTGAACAGAAGGGGTACAGGGTTTTGACACACTGCCAAATATGATTCATATCTATGGCATATATTGGGATAACCATTCAATGTATTGGAGCTACGTTAGTACCATATGTTTGGCCATATTTTGTGGGGATATTCCCTAAAAATTAGGCCTAAAGAATAGGCCTTATGTATGGTAGGTACCTCCAATTTAGGATCCTGAAATTCGCATTGATCTATGGCATATATTGGGATAACCATTGGGATAGCTATGGAAATATAGAAATATATAGGACATATATGGAACTATAGAATCTATAATACGAAATATATGGAGGTTTCCGTAGTCATGGGGGATCCCCAATAGCTGGATGGTTTGTTTCATGGAAAATTCCAGAAAAAACATGGATGATTTAGGGGTACCCCTATTTCAGGACACGTTCATATCTCTCTGTATAAACATTACAGTATAGTTATGATCACAACTTATTCGAAGTGTAAGGATTGTGACCATATCTATATCAAATATTTGATAATATTTCATATATATATATATATATACACATCATAATTTAATGTCTAACATCTAATAAACTATCTAATTTCCAGTATCTATATCTATATCTGGATCTATACTTTTGCATGCTCAATTTGGTGGCATTCAGTAATGGTGGCATTCAGTTGCAAAAGTGCTCCAGATCTGATTTCTTTATATACTGGTTTATGAGGTTTCTTAATTTTCAGAATTTCAGCCTGCGGCATTTTTTTTCCACAACAGTTGGTGAACATGCAACTGTTCCGGTTGCTGGTCTGAGCTATTTTGTTCTCCATACCCAATGAATAATACTATATATATATGTATATTTTCAATGGGAATTCCAGAATCCTAAAATGGAGGTACTCTACCATATAAGGCAATATTTTGTGGTGATATTCCCTTACATAGGCCTTATATATACCTCCATTTTAGGATCCTGAAATTCCCATTGATATTTTGACCAGATAAGAATAGAACCGCATGAATCATGAAGATTCAAGAGATCTGGCGAAAAACTGGGTGGACCCGTTTTGTGATTGTGGTTTCGATAGGAAATGCCAAGGGTTGAGTTGTGGGGGTAGGTCTGCCGAAAAGCAGTTCCGAAGTGGTTGCACTCGTCAAGTGACACTTCACGAGAGTTGCAGGCCAGTCACCAAAGTCACAATTTCCATCATGCAATATAGTATAATGTCAACCCCGGGTTAATAAACCATGGTTTATTAATTAGGGGAGTACTCCTCCAATAGTCATTATCTGATACTTAAATGGTACCCTCCCAATTAAGCAGCCTAGGGTTTATTAATCCAGGGTTGACATTAATTTGAGATCATATGGGAACATGGAAATCAGGCCCAGCGCTTTGGGAATTCCCGTCGCAATGACAGATGGCCGAGGCTTCCATTCAACTTGCCATGCAGGAGCGCGTGACACGATGGCCATATGGGAATTACCATAGTCATGGGGGTCCCCCATAGCTGGTTGGTAAAAAAATCATGGACCATCCCAACAAAAAATGGATGATCAAACGGGGTACCTCCATTTCAGGAAACCTCCATATGAACTATGAAATCCCAGTTGGGGTCCCCTCAATCAAGAGGTTTCTACATCGTGCATCATTTTGGCGAAGTTTATGGTGCTTACCAACAATACGAGACAGTACTGCACATGGCCTGTGCCTGTGATGCACGTTCCGAAGGGTAGCTGTTGGGATGATCCTGCACTTTCATCAAACATGGCTGGGAAAGCCATATGGTGGTTTCCTAAGTCATAGGGCTACCCCCAGTTATCATCCATTGAAATAGGATTTTCCACTATAAATCATCCAGCTATTGGGGATCCCTCATGACTATGGAACCCCCGAGCCATGGACATCCAGAAACGGGATTCCCAGGAATGCGGGTGCCTCATGCATGCCGACACAGACTGACATATCCTTTTCTTGATGGTTCTATATCTCCACATATATGCCCCATGATATTCGGAAACATATATCCCAATTATACCATCATTATATCCCCAGATAAATTATAACATCATTATATCCTCTTTTTATATTCAGTATTATATTCAACTATTGTACCAACATTATACCAATTATCAATATAGTAACCATATATATATCCTCATTTACTGTATTAGATTCTTATCATGATGATAGATATCCATCACCATAAACAAATCCATTTATCCATTTCTACCACCATTATATCAACTATCGTCACCACAAAATGTCCATCATCATTCTCAAACCACCATGTGGAGGTTTCCTGAATCATCCATTTTAATAGGATTTCCCCTTATAAACCAACCATTTTGGGGATCCCCCATTTGTGGAAACCTCCGTATATTTCCTATTATAGATTCTATAGTTCCATATATATGTCCTATATATTTCTATATTTCCATAGATATCCCAATGATATCCCAATATATGCCATAGATCAATGGGAATTTCAGGATCCTAAATTGGAGGTACCTACCATATAGAAGGCCTATTCTTTAGGCCTAAATTTCAGGGAATATCCCCACAAAATATGGCCAAACATATGGTACGTTTACGTAGCTCCATGTATTGGATCCTGGAGATCTTCCATTAAATGATTATCCCAATGTATGCCATAGATGTGATATATGATATATGATATATGATATATATATATATATGTCTATATTTCCGTAGATATCCCAATGGTTATCCCAATATATGCCATAGAAACCACCACATTCCCTGGTTTTCTAAATCCAGTCGCAGGAGCATTTGCCCACGGACCTCAAGTGGATGACGGTGACCTTAGGGAGTCTCATCGCCATTGCTGCTCGCAGTGCAGCTGGGGGGATGTATATGCATGTATATATGTATAAAGGTATGTAATGTATGTATGTATGTATGTGTATATGTATACATATATGTATCTATATATGTATATACATATATGTATAAATATGTATGTATATATATACACATGTATATATATACATATAACTATGTATTATATATATATATCTATAGAACCCAAGATGTGAACATTTCGACGAGTCTCTTCACCTTTTTTTTGAGCCTTGAGGCCTTGGCGTGGGCTGCCTGGCAGACGATTTTCTTCCGACGCTCGCGAAAGAACGAAAGGGGCAGGATGGGATTGGAAAACCGGGACTTTTCTAATTTAAAGGATCAAAATAGGGGATATGGACAGTTAGGATTTAATGGGATATATATATAATGTATGTACATATGTATATCTAGCGGGATATAATGATTTATAATGATGACATCATGGTATTTTCATGGCTATTTCGTAGGATTTTCATGTTTAATCGAAGGTGAACAACCGTTGATAGATAGTGGAACGAACCGCTCTGAACGGTTGATGGTAGGCATTTGGTTCGTACAGGATGGCACCCCCCAGTTATAAGTTAGTTTAAAACCCTAACTTAAACAGGTTACCCATTAACTAACTTATAAGTTTAGTTTAACTAACATACATGTAGTTATAAGTTAGTTATCCATTAACTCTAGTTACCCGGCTGGTAAACATACACATAACGGATGGGAAAATCACCATGCTATTCATGGGAAAGTCGATAAATCCACTATTTCGACTGGGCCATGGCTTCAAGTTCGCTTTTTGTAAACGTTGACCAGGCCGGGTATACTCAGTGGACCCCATGGATATTTTTTATGACCATGGATCCATCCAAAAATGAGGAAATTCATGGTCATTTTATGTAATTTTCATTCAAAAACAGATTGAATGTTCCAAAAATATACTGATGAAATGAACTGGTTTCTCCATGGGAACCATCAAAATTATTATTTTTTTCTATGTTTTTCAAACTGTTTTTGGACCAACAAAATGGTAGAACACATAGGAAATGCACTTCGGAAAATATGAGCGAGGGTCAACAAACATGTTGATTCAGTCAAGACAACTCCACATTTGACCAACAAACAGAGCAAAAAAAATCAGGGAGATGAAGCTTAGGTTTTTCCGGCAGACAGTGGTCATTTTTCGTAGTTTTGTGCCATGGTTGACCTATACCCATGTGCCATGGTTGAAAGTTGGTTTATATATCCACATTGCGGGACGGTCATACCGGAATACCACAATCATTAGAGAATTCCAATGGCTAACCTATAGATCTGGCGACGACACGTTGTGTGGTACGCGAGTTTCTCAGCACTAGATCCAGAAGAAAAAGTTGGGCCAGGCCTGAACAGGGCTCCGAGTGGTTACAACTACCAGAATGGCACTTTTCGCTTCGAAGATGTCGACCATGAAATCGAGGAGGCACGCCAGACACCAGAACGACACGGGGTACAGCTCTCTGAAATCTTGCTGAAGTTAGCGTACCACGTGCTTCCTGCTCTCCCTCAGAACATGGAGCTCATGAAAACCATCGGAAAATATGGGCAAATCACCTTTCTTACTGGGAATTATTTACCTACAGTATACCACCCGTCTATCCACAACCCCATGACACTAAATCGTTTACTCAACACAGATGGTAAATTTAAAGACTTCCTGGTGACGGCGCCTACGCGCGCCCAAAATTTCAAGCTTGCTTTGTCTCATCTGAGCCAGCGCGCAGGGCAGGAGTAAAAAAAAACCTATAGATCTCCAATTCAATTGACAGCATACCCTGTTTTGACCATGGCATACTGTTGTTTTGCAATGGGCACCGATTCCATTCCGTGGTTCATCATGATTTTGCCCAAGAATAGATGGCCATTTGATAGCGGAGATATCCCACTTTCCGACACGCCCAAATCACATTTGTTGTCGGTTAAATCCCAATTTTTTGTTGATTAATATGATCAATGTTTGCTGGTTTATATTGGGATCCTCTCCATTGGTACCTTTCATTTCGATACAAAGCCATAAGTCACATAAGCCATTGGTTCCTCCGTTCATATTGAAGACCCCCTACATCCACCACAGGTTTTCATAGGGAATGAAGCCAGATTCACAGGGGACCATCGAATTCGACATCCATGGTTTGGCCCTCTATCCTCGGGTGATAGAAAGATGAGTATCAAATTCATGGACAGGATCACTACCCTGTGGTAATGACTAACAGTTTGCTATTGAAGCCATGGCCCAGTCGAAATAGTGGATTTATGGATTTACCATTTAATAGCATGGTGATTTTCCCATTAAATAAGGTGATTTTCCCATTAACAATGGTGATTTTCCCATCAAATATGGTGATTTTCCCATCAAATATGGTGATTTTCCCATCAAATATGGTGATTTTCCCATCAAATATGGTGATTTTCCCATCAAATATGGTGATTTTCCCATCAAATATGGTGATTTTCCCATCAAATATGGTGATTTTCCCATTAAAAATGGTGATTTTCCCATCAAATATGGTGATTTTCCCATCAAATATGGTGATTTTCCCGTTAATAGCATGGTGATTTTCCATATTTTTTGTAAACGTTTACAAGCTCATCACGAGCTATGCAGAGACCCCCTCAACACGAAGCGGTTTTGAGGGCTGGAGGTTTAGGGTGTTGGCAAATTGACTTGCCAGAGGATCACCCAATATCGACATGTTTTTTTCAAAAAAATCTTTGGACAGTTGATCTTTTCTTAGTTTTTCTTATTTTTTCTTATTTTTTCATATAATATCTTATAATATATTATAATATCTTTGGACAGTTGATTTTTTCTTATGATATCTTACCCTCTGGTTATGACTAACATAGCCATGGTATAGATGGCCCATAGAAATAGATGGTGTACCTATTAAAAATGGGTGGATCTTTCCATGGCTATGTTAAATAACAAGATGGTATGATATCTTTAAACTTTGGACAGTTTATCTTTTTTTTTATGTCCAAATGGGACCATTTTTCATTGATTTCGAGAGATTTTGGGCATTTTTTGAGATGGGATTTCCATGAAATCAACCAGCTATTGAGGGTTTAGGCTTTGGTCAACCATCCAGCCATTCAATGAACCATCGATCTGAAACCATCCCATGATCTTACATTTGATCCCCAGGTGTTTGGGTTCGAATTTTTGCAGAAGACACTTTTGAGTAAGTTCTTCTATATCTAGCCATTCATTCTAATGAGGTAAGTTCATTGAGTTCATGGATTTCCGTTCTAATTTTATTTTTCTGCTACCCTTTGGGAAAGAACTAGGTACTTGGTGGCTCATCCCACTTAGTAAGTGGGTTATAACCCCAGTTATAAGTGGATTAACCCTACTTATCCCATTTATAACTAAGTGGGATGAGCCACCAAGTATGAGATTGATATTCAATTGATGGGGTGAATAGGTAGAAGTCACAGCCGATCCCTACAGGATGGGGCCCCCCATGGCCCCCCACAACCGAAAAACCCGTGCTGAGATGAAGATGGCAAAGATGCTAAAGGTGGCGTGGAAGGCATGGATGGGATGGGATGCAGATAGCTATGTTTTATAAGTAATAAGATTGCATAGCTATGTATATCTACATTACGTATCAATATGTATGTATGTATGTATATATATATATACATATTATATGTATAATATTTTATAATATAATATAATATATATATATACATATGTATAATGTATATATATATACATATATACACATGTATATTAATAGAAACGCATGTAGACACATTCATACATATGGCAGGAATTGGGACGGTGAAGCCGAAGCACCCCCAACTCTGGGGTGAATGGAGGCAGCAAGCGCTTCGGAGCTATAGAGTTTACCAATGACACGATATGAGAAGATAAATAAACACATAAATAGATACATAGATAAATACATAGACAAATAAATATGTATATATATATATAAATATGTATATATATAAATATGTATATATATATATATATATTATGTATAACCTATGGTTTCTAGTAGAAAAGACCTGGAAGGTCGGCCCAGCAATGACAGTAGTGTGTTGATGGCCATCTTTGTCGCAGAAGGAACAGCCAAAAAACGGGGTACCTTCTGTCTTCGAGCCCCACCCCATCATTCCATGTGGATTGGTTGCACATGCTATTCCCATTGTTCATGGAACATACCCTCTGGTAAACTAACATAACTATGGAAAATCACCATTTTTAATGGGAAAATCCACTATAACTGGCCATTTTCAATAGCTATGTAACAAATTACCAGAGGGTATCACAACATATCACCGTATATGTTGCTTGAATCTCCAACTTTTGTCAGTTAAATCCCATTTTTGTCTATTTAACTCATCATTTTGAAATAGATTTGCTCCTGACATCCGCATTTTCGTCACAACAAAACCCCGTGATTTTCCCATGTCCCGCCAAAGCCCGATGGAACTTCAGGGATGAGCGAGATCCAACTGATGTTCAACATCGTTTCTTGGAGCTTTTTCGATGGCTGGAAGGCTGACAGCTGCTGTGAAACTTCAGAAATGATCGCCTAAAGGCAGATCAACCAACAAGATCATTTCTGTAAATTTAGCGAAAAATAGGTGAAAACTGGATCTTAACTGGAAATCATTGCCTTCAAAAAATGGACAACTGGGGATGTTTTTTTTTGGGGAAAAAACTTGCCATTTTATGGAGAGATTTCACGAAAGCGACATGGAAAAGCTATGTTTTTTAGGGGAAACACATGGAAAAGCTATGGTTTCCCAAGGGAAAATCTGGAAAATCTGGAAAATCATCTACAAATGATGGTTGTTTTCTATATCTCAATTTACTGGGTAGAACTACTGGTGGTTGATTTACCACCAGGATTTTTTTGACGGCGAATTTCACCAAGCACCTGGGATGATCCCAGATGATCCCAACCAGCCAATAGTTTTGGGACCTGGTCGAAACAACGGTTGGGACGTTGGGAGATTGATCTATTCTGGTGAATCCAAGGGGAATTCTGGATGGGATATGGCATGATATGGCTATGGGTCAAAGGTATGAAGCAGTTTTGGATGGTGAAATGCAGCACTTCCCCGTGGTGGATCCATTGCGACCCCCCTTGACGTCGCATTCCGAGCTTGTTGGGATGGGATGAAAGCCGCCTTTTTAATCAGGTGGAAATGAATGTTGCCATAAACCATATCCCATATTGTTGGTTGTATATGTATAATATAAAATATAATGTTATATATATATATGTAATATAATATCTAATATCTAGTATATGATATAAAATATAATGTGATATAATAGAATATAATATGATATCATATATAATATATGATATATAATATATTGGTTGGTTAAGTATACCATATTCATGGATGATATTCCCAAATTGTTATCATAAAACCATATCAATATTGTATGATATTCTTATATATCCACTTGCTGAGGGTATATTCACTGAATAAAACATCCCAATGCCATAAGCCATGTATATATATATTTATTATATATGTATATCACATATATATATATGATATATACATATATGATATATTAAATAAATATATATATATACATATATATATATATACATATCTATCCCTAAGAAATTCCAAGTGCTGCGCCCGTTTCTTAGGTGAAGTCTGTGGTGGGCGAGGGCATGTTAAGCCTTCCAGCAGGCATCGCAGGTGGCACAGGCCTTGGGGACCCCGTGGAGGGTCGGGGATGCCCCGGGGGAGGCCTTGGGGAGCTGGTTCTGGTGGATTTGCCCTATGAGAAATGGATGTTTCACCATGAAAACCATGGGGATTTCTAGTTGATATAGCTGATGTGAAAGTTTACCCGGCCTGGTAAACTTTCACATAACCATGGAAAATCACCATGCTATTCATGGGTAAATCAACGAACTAAATGGCAATTTTCAATAGCTATGTAGCAAATTACCAGAGGGTAAGTTTGAATAATCCCTATGGATCACCATAAAATCCCATTATAATCCCTGTTAAATTACCAGAGGGTAGTTAGGTTGGTTTATTACTAGGCTAAGGAGGCTTTGATGGCGACCAGAGGCTACAGGTTGGTGGATCAAGAGGCCATCTAACCAGAGGGTACCACCAAAAGTATCCCCAAAAGTGTAGAAAACCAGATAAATGGTTGATACTTTTGGTAATTGATGGTAATATAATGGCAATAATGGATATAGTGGTAATATAATAGTAGTATAATGGTAATATAATAATAGTAGTATACCCAGTATTTCTAAAATCGTGGATATAATGGTAATTGATGGTAAACAGCTCAAAAAGAAAATATGGGGAAAGCTACAAGAAATATACACAAATAGGAATCTCTCGTAGAAGAATCGGTGGTTTTACCCTCTGGTAATTTGTTACATAGCCATGGAAGCCATGGCCCATAGAAATAGATGATTTTCCCAGCTAGAAACTCCATTTATGTTTGGGATTTTCCCATTAAAACCTCCATTTATTTTGGGGATTGTCCATGGCTATCCAATTACCCTCTAGTTATTTGTTACATAGCCATGGTATAGATGGCCCTAATCGAAATAGATGGTTTACCTATTAAAAATGGCCATTATTAACCATTAATAACCATCCATTAATAACCATTAATAACCATTAATAACCATTAAAAATGGGTGGATCTTTCCATGGCAAACTGGCTGTTAGTCAGAACCAGATGGTAACCATCGAGAAGGGGCAGCCCGTGGCAGCACCGTGCAGGTTTGCTCGTCGGGGCACCTGAGGGGGATGATGCATTTGGGGCTTGCCTGTTTGGGTTCTACTAAAGGCTAAGGGGGAACATACCCTCTGGTAAACTAACATAGCTATTGAAAATGGTCATTTATAGTGGATTTACCCATTAAACATGGTGATTTTCCATAGTTATGTTAGTTTACCAGAGGGTACTGCATTTGCTTGTTACTCTGCGTTAGTTTGAAAAATAGGTACCAAGTCTGATGACTAATCCGATTTGATGATACCAATTGAGTGATTCATTGGATGATACTATACAATATCAAACATGAATATACTCAACTATAGCTATTGGAATCCTATATCACTATATATCCTATTGGAATCCTATATCATTTTCATTGGATGATACTATACCTATTGGAATCCAAAGAAAGATGACAAAAAATATCATTGGATGATGAATCCCTATTAAAAATTGCATCATCGATTTTTGAGTCCAATGATCGATGGGTTCAGATATGGCCAGTGAATTGCTTCAGTTCCAGTGATCCCATCGGTGATGAGTCATCAACCGGCCTAGCTTAGTCATTCCATCTTTTCATGGTGGATTTATAGTGGATTTATAGTGGATTTACCCATTGAAAATGATGATTTTCCATGGGATTTTAATGGGAACTACCATCTGGTTATGACATTCACAGTTAGCCATGGAAAGATCCACCATGCTTTTAAGAACGGGAAACCCAGGTAAACCATCTATTGGGATATACTTGGGATGATTGGAAATTTAATTGCAAAAAACATGTTTTCCTGTAGATTTTACCGTGAACCAATCTATTGAAATGCAAACATATAAGGATTTACTTGAAAAAAAACGTGACTTACCATCTGGTTATGACATTCACAGTTTGCCATGGAAAGATCCACCATGCTTTTAATAGGTAAACCATCTATTTCTATGGGCAATCTATACCATGGCTATGTAACAAATAACCAGAGGGTATCATGAATGATCATTTGGGTAAGTATATAAATGGTTATTTTCCCTTTTTTTTTCCATACGAAAAACTGGGAACCTGTTTTTTTCACAGGTGCTTTGGGAACCGTTTTAATCTCCTGGAGAATGATCCTGTTCCAGAGGCGGGGAGTCTGATGACCGTCTTCTTTGCAGCCCTGATGGGCTACACCTTCTCGTTGATGGGTCGCGTTTGCCACGTCACAGGCCGGATCTCAACGAGGGTGGTTCGGTCGAGTTTCGAGACAACAACTTGGGGGATTCCAAGAAACACATTGATTGGGGGATTGAAGCAATCCAAACAGGTTATATACATATATATATATATAGAGAAACATATATAGATATAGATAGATACACATCTATGTACAGCAGTACAGCAAAATAACGAACTATTGAAAACTGTTTTTGTTACTAGTGGGTATTAGCACTTTTTAGTCTATAATAGGGATATAGAATGTGTATATAAGAGGGATATAAGAGGAATATATGGAATAGGAACAACAATGGATTTCCATATACCCTCTGGTAATCAGCTCCATGGCTTGTTGGAAATTTCCCCATGAGTCATTAGTTCGACCATAGCTATAAACCTCCATGGCTAGTGCGGGGATTTCCAAGCTACCCTCTAGTAAACAAACATAACTATGGAAAATCACCATTTTTAATGGGTAATTCCACTATAAATGGCCATTTCCAATAGCTACGTTAAATTACCAGAGGGTATGTTTGATGACCCCAGGGTAGATGTTGTTTTTGAGAGGGGTTTTTATGTACCAATCCAACGTGGGACCCAAACGCCACAACCCAAGCACGAAGCGTGAAACTCCAAGCGTTCGAATAGATAAATCGTAGATCATCTATTGAAGTACCCTCTGGTAATTTGTTACATAGCTATTGAAAATGACCATTTATAGTGGATTTATGGATTTACCCATTAAAAATTGTGATTTTCCATAGTTTTTTGCATGTTTACCAGAGGGTATAAGAATCCGCCATACCAGCTGGGAGTTTGTTGGTTTCTAAGTGCCACTTTGATCAACATCTCCCATCAACCCGACAGTTACACTAGCTCTGCACTAACTTAGCTGACATAGATCAACTATTCAGCAGCATTTTTGATGGTTAAACCAGTTAAACCCCCAATTTTCCCAAGGATTCTGGCAGCTATTCCGCTCAGTCCGGCACCTTTAAAAAGGGGACAGCACTGATCGAAGCTGGATGAAAGCCTCTGACAAGGTGGTCCCCAGTTGTGTAAGTTCGGCAAAACCAAGTCATAAACCAACTTCGCTATCATCAATCAACCAGCTAATCCCCACTTTTGAGTTTTCAATCACCTAATTTTCCCCCTGTTTTGATGGTTAAAGCCCAATGTTAATCCGATTCTCCTAAGGTTTCGGGGCTCCATTTTTGATGGTTTACCACCTGTATACTCCCTGCCATTCTTCGAGGTGAGCGAAGCCACAAAGATTGCTGTGCCAAAGTGGCAGATCCCTGGTTGGCACAGAGTTCCTTGGCAAAGAACTTGGCATCGACCGATGCGCAACGCAACTTTTTGTTTTTTTTTGGGGGTTTGGTATGGGTTGGTACTGAAAAAAAACATGAGGAAATCCCCACGGAACCCCCCAAGTTTCATCAATTTTCATGTTTTAGAGCTTGATTTTCCGGTTATGACATTGGCTCAAACGGAGTGGACCGAAGTATCCCCCATGTTCAACAGCAACAAAGGTGCAACAACCGCCGGTCCGGTCCGCCACAGTTTTTTTCGGGGATCATGGCGCCCAAATCATGGCAGGTTGGGGTGTCCATGGGGGATCCCCAATAGCTGGTTGGTTTATGGAAAATCCAATTACCCTCGGGTTATGTCAAAATAGCTATTGAAAACCATAGGAAAATGGTGGTTTAATGGGGTTTAACCAACAAAATGGTGGTTTTAATGGGATTTACCCTCTGGCAAACATACAAAAAGCTATTGAAAATGGCCATTTAGTTCGTGAGTTTTCCCATGAAACATGGTGATTTTCCATAGTTATGTTAGTTTACCAGAGGGTACCCCCAATAGCTAGATGGTTTATTTCATGGAGCCCAAAGAAAAATGGATGATTCAGTGGGGGTAGGCCTATTGGAAACCTCCAATTGTTTATGATGGGTTTTTGAAATGCCAAAAACATCAAAAGTTGTGTTCACAAATTGATGGACGGGTTGCTTAATCCAACAATGGACAATTCTTGCGAGGATTTGTCGGTCGGGGTGTTACCTAGGGGTATCTAAATTTAACCATGTTTGGCTGTATGGTTGTTTGCAGAGGATTCAGCATTATAACAATCCGCAAACATAGTAGTGATGATGACATAGTAAGAACAGATAATTAGAACAATTGATGATGACATCAATTCCCTATGTAAACAGATAGAACAATAAAACTTTGTGACATAGTCTACTAAGTAATTAATGTTTGTTCCCAATCTATCCCACAGTTATCCTGCATACTTGGGCACACCGCTTTCAGGATACCATCATTCTTTCAGAACCAGGCACATTTCATTTAATGTTTGACACAATCCCATTTGATGTGCCTGGTTCTTTTCAACAATGATTTAAGCCACTTTATATAATGGGATTTTTATGGATTTTCAACACGTTGTCATCATTGTTTGTTTCATGGGATTTTTCATGACCTTGCTTTGACAATTCCATGACTCGCTCGTATTTTCGCCCCTTCCTCTGACCCGAAGATCCGAATCCAGGATCTCCATAGCCATACTTTTGAGCCATAGCCATATTGATTGGTACCCTCTGGTAAACATACAAAAAGCTATTGAAAATGGCAATTTATAGTGAGTTTTCCCATTCAAAATGGTGATTTTCCATAGCTATGTTAGTTTACCAGAGGGTAGTTGAAATGCACTTATATAAATGGGGATCAATAATGATCAATATATATCCCCTACTATTTTCAGATTGCGATGTGTGTATGGGCAAAATTCTTACAGCACCCCCCCAAAGTGGATGATTGAAGGTTCCACAGATATCCACAGATACTACTTTCGATGAGTCCCAATTTTGTAAATCCTGATTTGTATGCACTATCAAGCAAATGATATATCATGATATATCATGATATATCATGATATATCTCATTCTATCCCACAAAACTTCCCAGTTTGGTTGGTTAAATCCCCTATTCTTAGTGAAATCCCCATTTGTATGCTATCTGGCGAACATGCACTTCAAACATCCCCGGATCCCCGAAGCATTTTTGTGAAGCCCCAAGGCATGGCAGTGGTCCTCTTCGTGAAAACGATCTTCACGCGACTTGACGTGAGATGGCATTACACAAATACCATTGTTGATTGAGTAGTAATGGTATTAAGTAATCAATAGTTTTACACCAATCAATAGATGGTACTACTCAAATACCAGGGGATTAAGTGACCTAGTTTTTTTGGGGATTATGATGGCCTACTGATGGCTCAGATGGAGTTTTTTTTCACCAAGAATCTATTGATTTTTATTGATAGCCGTTATTGGGGAGAAATGGGTGATTGTCATCGTGAAAAAAGCAGATTTTGCCCCCAGATGTATGTTTTGGGATGCTGAGAGCAACCCTGAACACAAGAGATGCAAAGCAAAGGATGAAGCTTCCATGTGTGTTGCCACGCGACCTCGGGTGTAATTTCTTGGGATGTCCTTTTTTGGGCCCCACATGTGAGTCTGTCGGAAGTGGGTATACCCCAAAATGAGAGTCTTGATAGAAAAAATATGGAAACACATATGATAAACACCGTGTTTGAGGGTAGCCCATTTTCTCAGAAACTCGTGTTCGATTTGGGAATTCCCAAGGCTAGTTCCTGAGGGTCGTTCCACATACGTTACAACCCAAAGCGTAGAACCTTGGATGCTCACTGCAATTGTAAGTGCTTCATCACCATGGCTAGTTTTTCTTTGAGCATTTTGAGCATATTTCCAGGTCAATCGTTTTTGGTACTGATCCACACATTTAACTTTGTAGGGAATTTTTAGGGCCCGTTCAGCGATTCACAGGTGCAAGGGTTCCAAGGGTTCCAAGAGTCTAGCGCCCCAACGGGGGTTATGTTCGTATAGTCGAGAAACACACCATGACTATCAAACTACATAACAATATGCTAAAATATACTTAACTTACTATCAAATTATGGTTATAGTTCTACTGTTAAAATAGTGCAGTATATTAATATATACCATGACTGTACATATATGTATATGATATATATGTATAGTAGTAAACCTGGCGTTAATGGTAAGAGACTATAATTGTCAACTACAACTATGAGATACAATCACGATTACCCTCTGGTAATGACTAACACAACTATGGAAAATCACCATTTAGTTAGTGAATTTTCCCATGAAACATGGTGGATCTTTCCATAGTTATGTAAACGTTTACCAAAGGGTATATCACCATTATCAGCATCGTATCGTTTTACCATCATTACCTCGCCATTGTATCACTATCATGATATCACAATCAGATCCCTAAATTTGCATGGTAAAACACCAATTTTGAGTGATTAAATCCCATGTTGATACTTAAATCTATTTTTTCCCCTGACAACAGTAATTGTTGTCACTGTTGTTGTTATTGGACAATACCATCCCCTAAATTATAGAATTTTATAATGCTGATGTGTCAAAACCTCTTACACCATATTTTGGGGACATGAACATCCATAAATCCATCCAGTTTTGATGTGAAAACCCAGGTTACCAGGGTTTTGACCAATGCCAAAAAAGCAAACACCACCTTATCCCATCGAAGCTTATCATCCAGTTGTCATGCCATGGTCAAGAGATTGCGACACTACAATTATGTGCATGATGCATGTTCTTATCGTATACCAACTCTTGGGGCGCTCCGATTGTTGGCCCTGGTCTTCTCTTGACCTTCATGATATTCAGTCACCATAGTTTCAAATGCACTGACCCCACCACCAGAGTCCGGGGCTGTGTCATTATGGAGCTCTGAGTTCATGCGAGAGTCGAGTCAAGAGATGGATTATATACCAATATTGGGGCAGGGTCATCAATCCTTTTTCATAGGGTTGTATATACCCATTATAAGGAGTCCGATGACATGGGATGGATGACTATGAATCATACCTCTTGACCATGACTGCCTTAGTTGTACATTCCATTCTATCCTGATTAGATCCTCATTAAATGATCATCAACATCACCATTTTCGCGGCTTATTACTGGGTAAAGTCAACCTTCGATGCATCCTGAGGTGCTTGGCCTTCGCTATCGTGATCAGCGAGTCCTTTGCGCGCATCCTGTGCCCTAACCGTTGAACGTTCAGCCGGGTATCAGCAGGGACTTGGGATGGGGGTTGATAGGAATACCATCTGGTTATTTCTTACATAGCCATGGAAGCCATGGCCCATAGAAATAGATGGTTTACCTGGGTTTACCTATTAAAAATGGTGGATTTTCCATGGCAAACTGTTAAATAACCAGATGGTAAAACTGATGAAGTTGGGGGAGATAGCATCATATATATGTATAAATTAGGCGATATAACATGATATCTAAGCACTGCAACCAACAATGGGATACAATTTGGTAAAATGCAATATATCTGGGCAAACCATCTGGTGTAGGTTAGTTTTATGGTTCATTTTCTTGCGCTTTTGATGGGGAGATATTGAACAACCCAGCTAAAAATCACCTTAATCTTGCAGGGTATCTCCCCAATTTTCGCTTTGATCTAGGGATGGTTGGAGATACTTCCCTCGAACAACTGTAAGATAATGGGATATACCTGATATACCCTACTTACCTCCAACATTATACAATGGGTTACCATTATGTTGATCTTATTTTCATTGGGTACCAGGGGCAAAGTAACACTAAGACCTGGCGAATCACCACTAGGGTAAGGGATGTTACCCTCTGGCGAACTCACCCAAAAACGATGGAAAACCCAGCATTTTTTTGGGAGTAAATCGGCGAACTATATAAATTGCAATTTTCAATAGCTTTTTGTATGTTTACCAGAGGGTAAGTTCCATCAATCCCTATTGATCACCATAAAATCTCATTAAAATCCCATTAAAATTCCATTAAGTTCCATTCGAATCCCATTAAAATCCCATTAAAATCCCATTAAAATCCCATATTTCGACTGGTTCCAGTTGAGACTGCTGCCAGTCCTTCCAGTTGTTCAACGCCGAGGCGTTTCTGCGGCGTGCAGGGGATTATGGCAACATCGCAGGCGTGCGGATTTTTGGGTGGAGTCCATACAAAACCAATAGATTTGAACTGAAACCAGAGGTGTGAATATGTTGAATACTGGGGGATTTAACCAACCATCATGATGATGGGATATACTTAACCAACAATCATGGATATATAAATTACTGTATATACATATACATATATATATATAAATTATATATAATATATACATTACATGGATAATTGAGGAATGACTAATGAATAATTATTGGTGTTACCCTCGGTGTCATCAAACGTGGCTAGCTGGAAACTCCACTATAAATGGAGGCTTCTAGCTGGAAAAATAATCGAACTAAATTTGGTGGATTTTCCAGCAAGCTGAACATGGAGGTTTAACCAACAAAATAAGTGATGGTTTTCCTGAATTAGAGACCTTGAAACCACTGGGAATAGGGGACGTAAGCAAGAAATTTTGGGGGTTAGCAACAAACATCGGGATATAACCAAGATCTATGGTTATACTATGGTTATATATGATTATATACCCCATTCATCAAGTATGGTCCTATGGTTTTATATCTATGGTTATACTATGGTTATATCAAAAAGATCTGGTCAACTTGGATCAATTGGCTGGGAGATCCCACTAGCCATGGAGGGTTCTTTTTGGCTGGGAAATCATCGACAAATGCTGCGGCTTTTGCAGCATGCCATGTTTGATTACCGGAAGGTAAGCCTGGATTTTTCCGTTGATTGACTAGCAGTCCATTCCAGAAGACCGAAATGGAACACCTGGAATGCCATCTCGTACGCTAATCGAACCTGGCTTGCTGGAAAATCCACCAAAATTGTAGATTAATTTTGTCATTGACAGGTACACATCAGCATTTCTTGAATGGGACATCTCCAAGACTCTGTGGGTTTCGGTCAGGCTTTAAAGATGTTTCTACATTTGTTTTGCTCATTTTTAGTTTCAGATCATCTACTATTTTGGGGTGCCCAAGTTTGAAAAAAATGAAAGGTGCCATATTACCCCCCCAAATACTAGAACATTTCATTTTATCCAAAATATGGGTGATATTCTACCTCATCATTGCCCCAAGGTGGCCAGTTTAAGTCAAAACTTGGGCACATTTCCATATGAGCAGTGTTCGAAACCCCTGTTGGTTGATGATTAGTTCGGGGATCATACTACCCAAATCTACCCTTTATCTATTGGGGATTCTAGTAATCCAAGAGCGGGGAATCCCGTTCTAAACCAACCAGTATTTCATGGAATCATAGAGGGATTTTGAACCTATGTAAGGGAATATACACCCAACATATGGCAATTTCAGGAACCGATTGATTGGAGGTACCTACCATATATATATATAAGGCCTATTTTTCAGGCCTAAATCTCAGTGAATATCCCCAGAAAATATGGCCAAAAATACGAGTCTTATATGGTACTAACGTACCTACCATATATATATATATACATACATATATATATACATATATATATAGGATCCTGGCATTCCCATTGATGGAGACGATCTCAATCCCTCTGATTTACTGATTTCCTGTGTGGATCCCCGCGGGACGAGCATGCCACTTAGCATGTATCAAGCCATCCCCCGTTCATGACTTAAACACCCCATTTCTATGGTTCCAATGGAATGTGGAATTTCCCGACATAAAACCATGGTTTCGTTTAGGGGGTGTTTCATATTACCCTCTGGTAATTTAACATAACTATGGAAAATCACCATTTATAGTGAGTTTTCCCATGAAACATGGTGATTTTCCATAGTTATGTTAAATTACCAGAGGGTAGGGGGATGGGATTGTCAAGCCATACTCGAATCAGAAGACTTTGGAGTTGCATTGTCCAACGTCATTTTGTCATTTTACATCCGTGGAGAGCAGGGAGTTTGTGACATGTTCCGCCCAAATCAACTGAAGCAGCGAAGCAGAATGGGTCAGTTCAGAAAGCCATACCCAAATGACTTCTGATGTTACACTCTGGTTATTTAACATAGCCATGGAAAATAAGCCATTTATAGATGATAAACATGATATAACATGATGATTTACCTATTAAAAATGATGATTTTCCAGTTCGCTACGTTAAATAACCAACGGGTATATCTCCACATTTCAATGGGAATTTCAGGATCCTAAAATGGAGGCACTGTACCATATAAGACCATAGTTTCTGGGGATATTCCCTTACATATGCCTTATATAGGCCTTAAATATGGTAGGTACCTCCAATTTAGGTTCCTGAAATGGCCATTGAATATTTGTTGATTGTGGACTATCGCCATTGCCAAAAATAGAATCTCCATGTTTGTTGGATGAAATGCTGTTTTTTTTTTGTCGATCACATCCACATTTCTTGTTGGCATTTTTTTTGTTTGCTGGCCAACTAAACATATGTGTCAAAATTTTGGGCCAAGTAGGTAACTCCTTATATTGTTTGCTGGCCAACATAGGAGTTACATACTAAACTAATCTTATATTTTGCGGTTGGTTAATTTCTAGTATGTAACTCCTAGTTCTTCTTGGTTCAGATTAATGTTTTGGTAAAATCAGCTCAGTTTGTTGCTCAAATCCACTATTCCTGTTGGTGAACCTTATTTTTGGTCGAAACAAAAGATTAGTAAAAAAACAGGGGTTGCCTGAAAATGTTGGGAACATCCCCTAAACCCAATGGCCCAATGGTTTACCACCATTTTCCCTGTGAAATTCGCCATAAATTGCTGGTTTTTTCATACGCAAGACGAAGGCTGCTTTGCTGCTGATGACGTTCTTTGTGCTGATCCCACTGTGTATGCAGAAGCAACTTCGCGTCGGGAGCCAAGTGGGAGCCAAGTGGGAGGGCAGCCGGGGATGAGCAAAGAAAAGGATTCAACAAAATAAAAGATCAGATGATAAAAGAACTGATTGGTATATTAACTAACTATTGGGAATTTATAAGATACAACAATATATAACAGTTACTATTGGGGATGATATAACTAGGTAAGTGATAAAAGAGGTTCGTTGATCGCTTCTGTACGAGAAATGAAGAAATTCTCTTCTAGCTGTTCGACCGAACAGCAGACGGACTCGGACTGCGCTACGGAAACATGGCATGTGGACACCCAGCAAGCTGAGCTATACTGGTACCCTCTGGTAATTTGTAACATAGCTATTGAAAATGGCCATAGAAATCGTTGATTTACCCATTAAAAATGGTGATTTTCCATAGTTGTTGGTATGTTTACCAGAGGGTACTTGGTGGTTCACCCCGAACAAACCAACCTGCATGGAATTTGTAGGGACCCCCTGGCTGATGGGACCTTCATTCCTGATCTTCCCATACTGGGCGTTATGGGAGTAGTACAGGAGTACCCTTTGGTAAACACACAAAAAACCGATGGGAAAATCACCATGCTATTTTCATGGGTAAATCACCGATTTCGTTCGACTGGGCCATGGCTTCAAGTTCGCAAAGTGTAACTTAAATTACCAGAGGGTATATCAATGTTATATCCATATCATGTTATATTCCCAATGTTAAATATCATTTTATATACCATTTTATATAACCATACTTAACTGGTAGGTGGTTTTAACCATCTTGAAAAATGATTGGGGGTCCCTTTCTGAAAAACTCAGAATCCAATGATCCAAATGATCCAAGGGTTCGAATCGCCCAGATTCTCTCCTACACCTCCATGATTGGATGTTTGGGGCAGGTGCTTGGGCTGGGAAGGGCATCTTATTTTTTTGGAAATCTCTTGAGGTCATCGTCCTGATTGTGAATTCTATGAAAATATGTGAATTTATATATCTGGGGAAATTTATAACTGATTAAGTGAAAAGATACCCTCTGGTAATTTAACATAGCTATTGAAAATCACCATTTTTAATGGGAAAATCCACTATAAATGGCCATTTTCAATAGCTATGTTAAATTACCAGAGGGTATGTGAATTTTCTGAGGGAAAACTCTTGAGTTTCTGAGTGTTTTTCCTGGTAATTGGAGATGAACATCCACCAGATTGATGTGGAAACCAGGCTGAAGGAGCAGAAGTTACTCCATGGCCATATTTGAAACGTACTCAAAGATGATTGAAGACAGGCAAGCTTCTGGTTCACAGCAAAAACCCACGGATTCTTCACCTGCGAAATCAGATTTCTGCATCAGATTGCACAAATGCCGATGCTTCTGATGGCAAAGTCCCACCATCAAAAGGTCAACTTGGGCAGGTGAACGGCCTATCTTTTTACCACGAAGATTTTGTGTTCGAACATGACCCCTTTGGCCAAAGTTTTGCTGCTAACTCTTCCTTTTCTTGATTATCATAAATGTTTTTTGGTCATGTTTATAGATGTTTATATATGTATATATATATACACATATTATACACATATTATACACATATTATACACATATTATACACATATTATACACATATTATACACATATTATACACATATTATACACATATTATACACATATTATACACATATTATATACATTTACTTGGATCATCTCGTTGTTTTCTGCTTAGTCTGCCCCAATATCACCGTAGGTGTGGGTGGTCTTCACGATGCAGATCCGCTATATGGATCCTCGGTTTTTCACGAAGTTGGGAGACCCTTGAAGTTGGCTTGGCTGGGTTTGTTTAAGAAAAATGGTGGATATATATATATATTAACTGGCAAAATGGTTTGTTTAATTATGGTATTTATGGTATAATTATGGTTATTTATGGGTATTATTTATTTATATCTGGTTGATATATATATATATATACACATAATGGATATATACTGGATATATGGAGGAATCATGTTGATCAATGGGGATAGAATGGCCTTTTAATGGGAGATATACCTTGGAGGTGCAGGCCATAGGTTGCTATGGGAAGCAGGCCATGTGTAAGGCAGCCGCAGTGTTCAAAACCCCATGTGTTGGTCGTTTATTATACGGGGGGATACTATCCATATGGGGGATGATCACAATCTATGAGAATTCCATAGAATTAACAACATTAACCAGCTATAAATGGAGGACAGAGGATTTTGCAACATATCTCTGTTGATGGCTTAAAAAAAAGGAGTCATACTGGCTCGGGGATTCAGTTCATCAAGCCATAACAGGAAGATTTACGACCCGACCGGTATTTCATGAGATCAGCCTGGCGGGTGGAAACATATGGAAGCTGCAAAAAAAGCTTCACTATCCACCGGTGAATCCCCTGAAAAAGGATCATTCAATGTATCCCATCCAAAGCCAGCTGAAACCAAAGGGGGGTTCTACTTCGTTCACATTTCAAGGTTTCTGTTGGATGTATATAATGTAATTGGGTCATATTGGGTCTAGAATCTTTGGTGCTTGGTTTCAACTGGTCATTTTCCTCCCTAAACGTGGGACGACGATAGGCCTTTCATGGATATTTTCCAAGGGCGTCGTTCCATCCAGATGATATACTAGTCTTCATCTGTAGTTGGGAACACTGTATCTGACATTTTTGGCAAAGACCTGAAATGAATAGCAGCTAAAGAACTGAAAGGTCCTAGGTTCTTTTTGGTTGAACATAGACCACCTAGGAGTTTTACAACGGACATCCAAAGATCCCTGCTTGGATGTGCATCCCACTTACTAGGTTATAACCTATATACAATCCATATAACTGGGGATATTCCATACATAACTGGTATCACCCATTTACGATGCCTGGGGCCCACACCCCTCCGAAGTTCCTCAGGATGGGTCCTACATCCCTGGAGGACAATTTTACTCCACGCTGCGGACACAGGCACGGTGGAAATATGTGGAAGGGGAAAAATCTTGGTGGAAAAACAGGCCAAAGAATTGTGCACATAAAACCATATAAAACCATATAAAATCATATAAAACCATATGAAACCATTAAAAAAACCCATATAAAACCAACAACTTCATAGGGATATCATTTGATATCGTTCATACAGGTGGCTTGCTGGTTCACATTTTCTCGTTGCGAAATGGAGGTTTGAGTGGGAAAAAACCATGGAAGCTGATCGCTATGAAGTTATTTATTAGTTGTTTTTATTAGTTAGTATCATATTTTTAGTTATTTATATGGAGCGATAGTTAAAAATATTTATTAGTTAATATCATGTCCATATTTTTAAGTACAACTGTTTATGAACAACTGGAGGGGAACATCAACTAAAAATATGGAGGATTTTCCAGCCATGGAGCTGATTACCAGAGGGTACATGACTCGGGGCACAGTGGTGAATCAAAAAGGGATCTGAACGACAGCGATGTGGTTTCCAAGCAGCGAGGATGGCTGTGGGGGATGAACAGGAGCGTCCCGACGTGTAGGAAGGACCCATACCCGCCATACCCATGTACGGTATCTCTACCGATCTACCAATCTACCATGTCTACCTACCCATCTATCTATCTATCTATCCATCGATCGATCTATCTATCTATCTGTCTATCTATTTGTTTACCATTGTTTACCTATCTCTATCCCCCTACAGTATCTCTCTATCTCTCTATCTCTCTTTCTCTCTATCTCTATCTATTTTGTCAAGTGTGCAGAGAGGGATGCAACCAACACACATGGAGCTTTGCCAACGAAACTCTGTAAATTGGGCACGTACTCCTCTTCACGACACGATGGCCATCCTGATGTTGTCCCCTTTATATACCCCATGATGGTCGCTTTGATTCCTAATTTTAAAGATGTAGCCTCCGGTAAACTAACATAATTATGGAAAAGCACCATGCTATCAATGGGTAAATCCCCGAACTAAATGGTCATTTTCAATAGCTATGCAACAAATTACCAGAGGGTAAATCCAATCTGAAATCCCATTAGATCCCATTAAACCACCATAAAATCCCATTTTTGGTTGGTGAGTGCCACAAAAATCCACATGTTGAAAGACGCGGTTTCCAGCGGAGGACCAACCCAACTTCACCGCAGGGGTGATCTATTGGAAGACAACGGTTTCTGCACGGCGATTTCGGATGGGATTTATGAGATTCAATGGTGATTCAATGGTGATTCAATGGTGATTCAATGGTGATTCAATGGTGATTCAATGGTGATTCAATGGAGATTAATGAGAATCTGGTTGGTGGTGACTGGAACATGGCTTTTATTTGCCCCAATAGTTGGGATGATGATCCAATCTGACTTTCATATTTTTCAAGATGGTTAAAACCACCAACCAGGAATTAGTCACATGGAAATTAATGAGAATTAGTCACGGTTGATGGGGATTGAATGGAAATTCAGTTGGAATTGATAGGATTGATGGGGGATTGCCTGTGGGGATTTAATGGATAGTTGCATCATTGGTATTGAAAAGGGTATCAAAGTATCAAATGGGGTTGCTTCATCTTCAACATACTTCCAGGTCAAGTGACAGCTTACGGGTAGCCATTTTGATGGGGAAATATATTGACCTAACATAACAACATTATTTTATGGAAGGGCAAAGAGTGAAGGCCAAGTGTTACTGAGTTTTTGGTGGTTGAAACTATTGTTTGGTTTCTTCACCTTGGGTACTTCAGGAAATCCATCGAAAATTGCTACAAGTTTCGAGTCCTGCGAAGAAATCACCATGTTGTGCCCCACTGACCAGCATCCAACTGGTGATACCGATGCCCAACTGGGTTCCACCATCAATTTTCGAGTCGTTTACCGTGCCAGTTATCCAAAAAAGGGGATGAGTCAAAACCTATGAAGACTCCAAGGGTGAACATTTTATGATACAAGAAATCTACACCAACTATTTGGATGTGAACACCTGGAGCCATAACCATATCCCCCAAATTCTTGTTGATTTTGGCTGGCAACATCCAGATTTTTGCGAAGTTTTACCCATAAAACCCACAGTTCTCCATGCTTTCAAACTGGTTACATCCATGTAGTGTAAATCAACAACCAGTTTTGACCCGGAACTCGCAATATGGTTTTGCCCTGGAACACGACCAGATTTACCTATATAGGTTGGTCCCAAGATTAGCTATTTGCCTAATTTTGGACAGTTTTTCTTCGATTTCGACAGATTTTGGGCATTTTGTCTAAATTGGAGGTTTCCTAAAATGGGGGTACTCCTAAATCATCCATTTATAGATGGGATTTTCCATTATAAACCATCCAGCTATTGGGGTACTCCCATTTATGGAAACCCCCATATAGTGATCCTGGAGTCGAAGTTTCTATCTAAATCCTCACTAAAATGGGAATATCATTGAACATACCATGTTCTATCTACATCAGGATGATTGTATGTAATATTGGTATTACAATATGTTGCTGGGGTTTCAGATGTTTTCATTTTCTAAGCCCCAAAGAAATCGCAGAAAACAATCTCCCGATTGGATCATTGTTAGCTAACATACCATTTTTCATCTGATTGGTGGTTTGGAACATTTGGATTATTTTTCCATTCAGTTGGGAATGTCATCATCCCAACTGACGAAGTCCATCATTTTTCAGAGGGGTGGCGAAAAACCACCAACCAGTCATTCATAGAATTGGATGATGGGAACATTTTAACCGGAACCCCCAACCAATTTGATGGTAAAAACCCAATGGTTTCCGGTTAAGATTTTCCCACGAAAACCAATCCATTGAGTCATGGTTAACTCATAATTTACTACCCCATAATTAATTATCATCATATTACCATATTACCATATTATCCCATAATTTACCATATTACCAGTGGTTCCCCAAAATATAGTGTAGATAACATAACATTTTTCATGGTTAACCAACTGAATCCCAGCATTTTTCTCAGGTTTGCTCCAAGCGATGATAAGCGAATCATAGCCGCCAGGGTGGTAAATCTGGGCGTTGGGAGCAGCCCTGTAAATCATTGTCCATAACATCCCTGATAAGCAAACTAAATAGTAATGTTAATAATAAAGATAACAATAATCATAACAGCCTTTATATCTTTATAGTCCCAACATACATCATTGAAGAATTGACCCACTGTTCATGGAAATTTCAGGATCCAACAGATGGAGGTACTGTACATTACTGTACCATATTTTAGGCCATATTTTTTTGGGGATATTCCCTGAAATTTAGGCCTTCTATAGGCCTTATATATGGTAGGTACTTCCATTGGACCACCATTCAGGTGGCCAGTTTCGTCCTGCTCGGGTCCTTGAGCACGGCCTTTATTGCGCGTCTTGGCGAAAGATTTTTGTATCACATCTGGGAATTCAACAAAGAAATGGCTGATTTCATCGGATTTCTTGGTGATTTTTTTGCGATTCTATGGGATTTCATGGTGATTTATATAATGGGAATTTAGGGGTTTCTGACCATCAGTATGACCGGGCCCTCAAAACGAACACATGCAAAACATAGATATAATGTCGCTTGCGGGGCTTTGTTCCTTCACCATCACTTGTGGATCTTAGGGATAGTCGGGGGCCCCCGGCAGTTGTGCAACAGGCACTACAACGCCCCCAAGTTCTATTCCCAGCTGCAAGACGCAAGCCCTGAGAAGTTTCGGAAGGCAAGATGTGGACGCCTTTGATGGGTAACTACTGTAATACTCACTATGTGGATTATGGATGGATATTACTAATTATCTGGTTGGTGGTTTGGAACATTTATTTTTCCATATTGGGAAATATCATCCCAACTGACGAAGTCATATTTTTCAGAGGGGTGGCGAAAAACCACCAACCAGTATATATATATATAATGGATATATGGAGGATTAATGGTGATCAATGGGGTATATAATGGTATATACCTTGCTTGGAGGTGGTCACCATTAATTAACATATATCTACCATAAACCGGAGTGATATATTGGATATACATATATGGATTATGGATGGATATTACTAATTATTCTTACTACACTGGACATATTTCATCAACAGACTCCATTCTGGCGAAACACAGTTCTCTCCAAGAGGACCAGGGCACATATAGATCCCATTTTCTTGGGACCGTCGGCCCCAAAAAAAAGCTACCCCCTGGTTATGACTAACAGTTTGCCATGGAAATATCCACCCATTTTATAGCTAGGTAAACCATCTATTTCGATTAGAGCCATGGCTTCCATGGCTATGTTAGTCATAACCAGAGGGTAACGTTTTTAACGGATGTGATACGCGATGTTCTCACTACAATTTGGGTTAATACAATGTCATTTTTTGCCATTTTGAGCGGGCCATATGAACATAACCAGACAAGTATTGCTAGTTTTTTTTTCTTGGTATTTAAGATCGGCTATGCAGCCATGAGTAGCCCGAAATTGATCAGCACTGTCTCTATGAAAATACCAAAAAAACATTCTAAGTTCTAAATGACTCATATTGCTGGGGTCATATCCGATACGTATCCCATGATATCCTGGTTTGGTTGGTGGTTTGGAACATTTGGATTATTTTTCCATTCAGTTGGGAATTTCATAATCCCAACTGACGAACTCATATTTTTCAGAGGGGTGGCTCAACCACCAACCAGAATAGCATGTGGCAAGGTGACGCGGATATCATGGGAATTGGTGAGCCCAATGCCATAGTGCCCATCCCCCGAGTTCGAGATCTATGAATTGGGTATACCCCTAATGGGATCATGTTTACTATGACCCCCCAGTGTTCGTTGATATGCCTGTTATATCCCTCTTGCAGTCACCATTAATTTGCTGCTTTTGGTGGTCCATATTATGGCGATCATGGCTATGCCCATAAGTTTTGGTGCTTGAAACTTTCCCAATATCAAGTTAAAGTACAATCCCTCCAAACATCATACTTGGAATCGACTTTTTGGGGCTGGTGAAATTGGTTAAATACCCATGAATTCCCCGTTGAACCACCTATCTTCTTGGGATTGAAACCTTCTCAGTGCATCCCAGTTAGTAAGTGGGTAATAGCTGGTATACAGCTGGGGTATGTCCTACATAAAACTGTGTTATAATATGTTATTACCCGCTTACTAACTGGAATGCACATCCAAATACCATATAAGTTGGTTTAGTTTCACCCCATAAACTAGTAACTAGTTCGTTGTATCTACATATATCTACCATAAACCGGAGTGACATATTGGATATCCATATTTATATACATATATATATATATATTATATAATATATACATATATATACATATATATATATATGTATAATATATATATAATATAATATATATATATGATGTATATTATGTAAGCCAACCAATCTTAAAATTGTTTGGTGTTTCTTCCGTCTGGCGTGCTGGGGAGGTGGTCATTGGAGCGTTCAGCTTCGCGACTGGGCGCAGATGGATGGTTGAAAGATGTAGAATGGTCATGGCATAGAAATGCATAGAATATGTAGGGTTTAGTGATAATGGATTAGGATATCATCGATATATTATATATGAACTACTATAATATGATGAATATAAGTATGTATATATATATATATCAACTATATGGATTAGTGAATATGTATATATATATATATGGAATATGGAAGTGGAAAGAGATGGATGATGTAGCGGTAGTTCTCATATATGGAATAGAATGTGGTTAGGAATATAATCAATATGTAGGTTTAGTGACAAATGTCAAACTCTTCAATCCAAAGATAGAATAAATATATAGGGATATTGCTTGGGGTCATAGAAGCAATTTTGCATAGTTGGGTGTGGAAACTTGGATAGAAAGGGTCAGCACACTCCATTTTCGTTGGGTTTTGTCTATAAAACCGGCCATTTTCTGGGTGTTTTTTTTGGATATCGGAGGATATCAGACATGGACCCTCTGGTAAATAAACATAGACCCTGAAAATCACCATTTTTAGAGGAAACTACTGTAATCTTCCAACCCCTATCTACCAGGGTCTATGTTAATTTACCAGAGGGTAGCTGGTTTGTTGGCCTATTTCTGGTGAACGCATCCAAGTCAACTCGGGCTACAGTATCACGTCATTCGATTAAGGTGGTCGTTCGATTCGACTAAGACGGAGATTGGGATTACATTTCCCGGCTATGGGTCTGTCTGAAAATAGCGTACCTCCTAAATCTCTGGTAAACATTCAAAAAGCTATTGAACATGGCCCAGTCGAAATAGTTGATTTTCCCATGAAAAATGGTGGATTTTTCCATAGTTATGTTAGTTTGTTTACCAGAGGGTAAATCTCTCATCGTTGATCATCCTTTTCCCAGCTCAACATGACACTTTTTTAAGGGTGCAGAATTTTCAGACAAACCTGGCGGGGTAATTTTCTGATTTTCTGATTTAAGAATACTTACTGGTGCGTTTTACGCAGGGAATTTTCGGGAATGATCCTTTTCATCACTACAGTAGTAATAATAATCCCAGCAACCCCCAGCAACCCATCCATTCCCTACGTTTAGCACCAGTAAGAATATTGGGTTTTGACTTGCCCTGCCTGTGTTGCCGATGGAAAATCGCAATTTTTTGATAGGCAAATCATCATGTTTATCATCTGTAAATGGGCTATATCTATACCATAGCAAACGGTTAAATAACCGGAGGGTAATAATATCACCTGATATTTACTCCAACGTAGGAAAGTGTAGCAGAAGTCCAGGACAATGGGGCACCCAATTGCATGCTGGAAACGCGGAACTTGGTGTACTGTCAAGCCTTTTTGTTTTCATGTCGGCAGTGGATGATTAGGGGAGGTTTCAATTATTTTATACCCTCTGGCAAATTAACATACCCTCTGGTTATTTAACATAGCCATGGAAAATGGCCCATTTATAGATGGTTTACCTATTAAAAATGGTGATTTTCCATGGCTATGTTAAATAACCAGATGGTAGACCATGAACATATTCCATTTTGTTTCACGAATCTTCCAACCCCTATCTGCTAAGGTCCAACTGTTAGTTTACTGGAGGGTAATTGGAAGCCAAATTTTTGGAGAACCATCCTGAGTGGGTTGATTCAATCATGATCCAAGCGATCTCAGGGATGATCACTCATTGATTGGAAGATCATTGGATAATGCATATAAGGTATATGCATATGAGGTAATATATTAATTTATCTACAATACATTGCATAAACATATACTGTATACATACATACATACATACATACATACATACATACATACATACATACATACATACATACATACATACATACATACATACACATACATACATACATACATACATACATACAAAACGTACGTACGTACGTACGTACATACACATATATAATCATATATATATGACACATATATAATCATATATATATATATATGACACATATATATATCATATATATATGACATATATATATATGATATATATATGATATATATATATCATATATATATATCATATATATATATATGTGATATAAGTTGAAATATACCGACCCCTGAGCCCCACTATGTATAGCATAGGTAGTAGGTCATGTGTAGAGCACTGCCGTAGCTATGAGAACCAATAGTCCGAAGTAGTACACCTCAATGTATGTACAGTTAATACCCTTTATCTAGAAGCGTTAGGTAAGGGTAGTAGTCGTAGGTTAGAGCATGATGCCCAGTAATTAATACCCTAACAACTACCAGGGTTTAATCGGTCATGCATGCGACGCCTACATGGCTCAAGTGCACAAAATAGTGTGTGCTTGCATGTCTTGTTTGCAGGGTTTGCCGGATTGGTTGTTCCCCTATTTTTGGGTGCCCGGTTCGACCCCCTGTTTGTCTGGTTATCAGCCGTAAGGCTTTTGTTGGGGAACCTAATCCGGTAAAACCTGCCTTAGGCCCTAACTTCTTTTTCGCACTTCACTGTTCTTTGTTGCATGCCCACAGGCAGTTCGGAACAGGTCGCTGCTGATTCCAGCGCGACGGTAACACCAGCCGAGGGAGTCGAGGCAGCTGAGGAAGCAGAAAGCGTTGAGGTGTCCCCTCCGTGGCCTGCTGAACCAGTAGCTGAGACATCTCAAAGCTGGGCCGACCTGTCTGAGGTACAAGCGCCCGCGCCATCTGGTTTCGACTCCATTGTGACAGACTCTGCAGATCAGGAACGATCACTGGTAGAGGTTAAGGAGGAGATCCACGAGGCCGAGAGCATCAGTGCAGTTATTTCAGCAATTGGTTTGCCGGAAGAGGTCGTTGACGAGCCCGTCGCGACAGAGGATATCGAGGTTGACACTTCACTTCAAGATCAGTCATTTTTGGAACCACCTTCTGACTTGGGTAACCCAGCAGAAGCTGCTTTCACGGACATTGATCGAGCAAAAGAAGAAGAAGCAGATCCTCAGCAAGAATCTTCAACTCTTCCGGAACAGGCCGAGTGCGAAGCTGAAACAACAGATCTTTTGGGCTTAGGTGACGAGGCGGGTCCAGTAGGAGAAGCATCCGTTGCATCCGAACCATCTGCATCCGTGCCTGAGCCTGCGGTCGCTGACACACCCGGTGTCGCGACAGAAGCCAACACTAGTTGCCCCGATCAAATAGTCCCACCACCAACTAGCCCTAATCTTGTTGAACCCGGCACCGAACCTATCCAGGTAGGCCATTCCCCCGCAACTTCATCTAATCCCCCACGCCAGAGGGTTAGGTCAAGTAGGGGTGGTGCCACAACCAGGTGGCAAGAAGCAAAGCGAGCTTGGTGGAACGACTTCGAGGCATACCAAAATTGGCTTTATCATAATTCTCGAGGGGATATCGTAGGTGGCTTTTGGTTAAGAAAGATTTCTTACGAATACGCCGACGAAAGCACTCGCTGGTTGATAGCTCTTCATTCAAGACTTGTTGAGGAGTTCCCAACATCACAGTGTTTAACTTTAGCCTATCAGATCCTCATCCCTTACAAAGAGTGGGCTCATACCTACGGTTTGGACAGGCGCAGAGGTACTTCACACGCTGAGCAAGTGATAAACTCTGGTGAACTACCCCCAAAAAGGATCATCAATCAACGTATCTTAGGGGCAGAGCACCCGCGCCCAGAAGAGTGGGATAGGTATTATAGATACACAGGCCCACAACAGCAACCCCGTCCAAAAGCGGAAAGGCCTGCTGCCGCAACACCCGTTGCTGGCGCGGCAAGTGGAGGCACAGTTCCAACTCTGGTCCAGCAAGGGCCAAAAGAGCCTGGGCATCCACCGCCGAACTGGCAACCTTCTTTGAGAAGGCCACCTGAGCCAGCAGTGCCACCGCGTCCAAGGGTTACTGTCTCTGTCCATCCAGTCCCACAAGCCCCAAAGTCAGATTCTCAAGGGGTCGCTGCCTTTGGGCGCGACGTAGCACCAGTCCCAGTTGCTAGCCCTGCTAAGCCACCAGCTAAAGCTAGGCCTAAAGCTCCTGATTCTAGTGCTACGACCCTTGCAGATAGAATTCAAAGTTTGCCACCTCCACCTAGTAACATTCCCCCTAGTCCGACCCTTCATAAACAACCACCTTTACCACCACCACCATCTCATCCGCCGCCAACTGCACAGGAGCTCGCTGCCCGCGATCCCCAGCCAGCAGAGGCGCGAGAAGAGGCTGCTCCGGAGGATCCCAACGATCCACCACCTGAAGAGGAGCAGTGGGTGGAGGAAGAGGAGGAAGAGGAAGTTTTTGAGGAGGACCAGGTAGTTGAAGTTGAGGTTGAGGCGGAAGAAGAACCTGAATTCCCTGACTTTACAACAACCGAACACGGCCGTGAGGTTTCCACGCGCCGTCGTAGGCCTAAAAGAAATAGGTCTAACCCGCCATTGCCTGTCAATCTAGTCCCAAGGGAAACCCGTGAAGGAATCGAACTTAATCAAGAACTTTATAGAGCCCGTGCCATAACCGGTGTTTCTAGAAGACCTCTTGCCTTAAGACCCCAAGTGCACGGTTACCCCGAAATTAGAATTGACTCCGCTGGCACCTGGGCTAGGGTCGCTGATCCTCCGATCGCGTACGCGCCGCAGACTTTGCCGTTTATTGTGCCTCACGCCGCGGCACCAGAGCTTGGGGTCAACCCACACGAGCTTCCCGACTCGTTGTGGCGTGATCCTGCACTTAGATCCCATCGGACTGTTCTTGGTTCAAGTAATTTAGACCCCAATAGTGTCTATAATATTTCCACCAATAACCCCGATACCGAGTCTGAGGGCTCTGAAACAGCTGAGACTCGAACCGCCAGGTTTGTTTCATCAGGTCAGGCATTTGTCGGCCAGCAAGAACCTTACGACGCTGGCTTTGCTGAGCGCACCCCTGCCCGTCCAATTGAGTCTCCACCAAAGAGACAGCGTCCTAACATAAGAACCTCCCGAATCCAACGTGATAAGCCGGCACAGCCCAGAAAAGA